ACTACTAGTGCTACGACTACTGCTATTACTATTACTACTACTACGAATGTAGAAACTACGTCTATCCTTTGCTACTGCCACTACAGATCGCACTGCTACTGTTAACGCGATCGTTGCGCTTAATCTCACTGGTGCCACCATTCTTTGCCATGCCTACGACGACTACTACCATTCCCACGACGTCCTACTATGACGAGAAGTCCCACCACACTTCCAACGAAATTGAAACGAATGATTGCCAACACTAATTCCAAGATTGATTCATGTCTTCTGCTCATGTCAGCGTCTTAGCGATATATTATTCAACTACTGCGACGACGATAACAGTTATAGTAGTAGTCGTACTCGTCTTCGTTTCAATAGTAGTACTCGTATCCATTTTAGTAGTACGAGTAGTAGTAGTAGTAGTAGTAGTAGTAGTAGTGGTGGTAGTAGCGGTCTTGCATGTAGTAGTCGTAGTTGCCATGGTTTTCGTAGTAGTCGTGGCCGTCGTAGTAGTTATAGTCGGCCTCGTAGTCCTAGTGGAAGTGTTAGTAGTAGGAGAAGTAGTAATCTAGTAGTAGTAGTAGTAGTAGTAGTAGTAGTAGTAGTAGTAGTAGTAGTAGTAGTAGTAGTAGTAGTAGTAGTAGTAGTAGTAGTAGTAGTAGTAGTAGTAGTAGTAGTAGTAGTAGTAGTAGTAGTAGTAGTAGTAGTAGTAGTAGTAGTAGTAGTAGTAGTAGTAGTAGTAGTAGTCGTAATAGCGGTTGTAGTAGTAGTAGTAGTAGTAGTAGTAGTAGTAGTAGTAGTAGTAGTAGTAGTAGTAGTAGTAGTAGTAGTAGTAGTATCGGTAGCAGTAGTAGTAGTAGTGGTGGTAGTAGGAGTAGTGTCAGTAGTAGAAGTAGTGGTAGTCGCCGTAGTAGGAGTAGTAGTAGCAGTAGTAGTTGGCACACCCGGAGCCCCACAACTACTGTTACTTTTCTGGCGGCGGTTACCACAACGACGACGACGACTTAGTTTATCTCTACGGCATATCTTCTGACTGTTACTACGTCGACGACGACGACGACGACTATTACTACTACTACCACGGCTACTACTACTACAAGAACTACTACTACTATTACTGATATTGCGACTGCTACAACTGCTACCAGTGCTGCTACTACTACTACTACTACTACTACTCCTACCACTACTACTACTACTACTACTACTACTACTGCTACTACTGCTACTACTACTACTACTACTACAACTACTACAACCACTACTCCTACTACTACTACTACTACTACTACTACTCCTCCTACTACTACTACTACTACTACTTTTACTATTGCAACCACTACTGCCACTACTACTACTACTACTACTACTACTACTACTTCTACTACCACTACCCCTACTATTACTACTACTACTACTACTACTACTACTGCTACTACTACTACTACTACTACTACTACTAACTACCTATTACAACTACTAATATTACTGCTGCTACTGCTTCTCTTACCACTACTACTACGACTATTGCTGCGAGAGCAACGTGTACGATCGCTACTACAACGAATGTCATTTTTTCCCGCACGCTGTTCATTGCCATGAGTATTAGTATGTCTTCAACTGCTACAACAACAACTACTACTACTGCTACTACTATTTGCATTTTTTACCATAGCATTATTCCCATCACTGCGACTTCCACGACTATTATCACGTGTATGAGTTTCTTTCCCCATGCATTCCATTCCCCAAGCAGTGCTTGCACTTAGGTTTGATTACTTGGCTTACACATCTCGGGGCGGGTGGCGGCTTTTGCGGGCGGTGCCGCCCGTCGCCTCCGTCGCCGTCGCCGTCGCCGTCGCCGCCGCTCGGGGCGAATGGTGGCTTTTGCGGGCGGTGCCGCTCGTCGCCGCCGTCGCCGTCGCATTGTTTCTCTACAAACAAATAACCTGCCAAAGGACCGTACCTTATGCAGTTGTGGGTACCGCGATTGTGAATATTTTCTTCGGTGACGCTCCCTATAGGGCCACGAACAGTATGAGGGTGTGCCGAAGACGAGAAGGCGAATTGCGACAGACTGAGCGCTGGTGAGTTTGACCGCGAATGAGTCTGAGTGTGAATGAGACGGTGTGCGAATGAAGCTTCTAGCATGAATACGAGCGCGGCTACGCCTGGTAGTACTCGTGACACTGACTGTGGCCGCCGCAGCAGGGAGCTTCCCCGGGAACCCCGACTGCACCGCCCGCGCGCCGCGACGCCCATGTCGGCAGCCCCTCACGACGATCGCGCCCGCTTCCTTCTCTTTTTGTCCTCCCTTTTTGTAAAGTCCGCGGCCGCGGGCGCAGCAGCGCGGAGTCCCAGCGACGCGCGCGGGACGCCCTGTTCGCGGAACACAGAGAGCTAGGTGGCCGGCTGATAGCGGCAAGGCTCTGGCCGCTCGTCAGAGCGACGCCAGGTTGGCGAGGTGTTGTCGGGCCCCGGAGCTATGACAAAAAGTGGTTACTCCGATCCTCGAGAGGGGTGTTGGGCATTAGATCGATTTCCTTATGGGGCCACGAAGCGTGTGAGGGGTGCGCTGAAACTTGGGATGGGCCGCCATGCGAACCTTGCCATTGGCGCCTACGGTGGAGCTCCCTATGGGGCCACGTTGGGCATTAGCTCGACCTCCTTATGGAACCACGCAACGTGTGAGGGGTTCGCTCCCTTATCCCCCCTTCCCTCCCTCCCCTTCCCGTCCCTAGTCCCTCTCATCCTCTCCCCGATCATCCATCCCGATCGGCCGCCGGAGGCCCGAGTGATGGTTGGAAGCCCGTCTGCGCACAAGCTCGGACGAGGGCAAGTTGAGACAAACGTCGGTCGCCTCTTTGGGTATATTGGGGATTTCTTCGTCGCCACGGCCAAACGCAGCTCGTCGCCACGATCGAACACAGCTCAGGAAACGCATGCTTCTGGACCCTCGAAGATGTCCAGTTTCCTTTTTGAGCGGGTTTGGATGTAGCGGTCGGGCAACTAGGGTTTCACCGCCATTCTCTAAAGTGGTTAGATTCCGAGACCTCCGCAGGGGCGTGGCTCCGCAACTTCAGCGAAGAACGCATCAGAGCGGCGAGCACGAGTCGACATCCAATTCACATTACGTATCATACCAGTGTCAAACGGCACTCTCCGGAGCCAGCGGACCAGATCATGGCTGTGCAATCATCCAACGCGGCCGTTCTCTCGTACGCGGGCGGGTCGAGATCGCGCTCAGGGCCCCCCCCCCGCGCACCCTCTGCGGTACCGAGGAAGTGCTGCGCCTGCCACGCCCCGCGAGCTGGTGACGTATAGAGACCGCGTTCTCGGAACACCCCCTGCGCCCCCCGTGTGGTGCCGAGGACATGCAACCTCTGCCACGCGCCGCGACCACGTGATTGACAGAAACCGTGCTGAATGCTACAGTCGGGGCACTGAGTAAGGAACCCTTTTCGTTGGGGAGGGGCTCGGTGTTCCTTAGTTGTTTTTTGCACTTCGCCTTTGGTGTTGCTTAGGGCTTCGATGGGAAATCGAAGTTAAACTTATGGGAAAAAGGGGGCCTCGTTCCATATTTAGGGTTCCTTAGGTCAACGCCCCTTCTGTATCCCCTGCGCGCCCTCTTCTGGTGTCCAGGGACGTGCCACTCCTGCCACGCCCCGCGGCCTCCTGCCGGGCAGACCCCACGCTCGACCACGACACGCCCCGCTCAGCCCTTGCGGTGGCGAGGCAGGGCCACGCCTGCCACGCCCCCGAGGCCCCGTGACGGACAGAGACCGAGCTCAGGGACCACCCCCTCTGCGCACCCTTGCGGTGTCGAGAGAGTGCCACGCTGCTCACGCCCTGCGAGCGGACGGCGGATCGACGGACAGGGCCCCGCCCTTTGTGGGCCCCGGAAGCGGCAGGGCCGTTTTTCACCGTTTCCAGAAAAATGTCCCTTGAAAATGGAAACGGCAAAAAAACGGCGACCGGAAACGACAAACAAACGGCTCCAGGATTGGAGCCAGAGCCGGAACCAGTCAAAAAACGGCGACGGAACCGGTAAACAAATGGCATCGGAACCAGCAAAAAAACGGCACAACGGAACCGGTAACAAAAACGGCCCTGTCGTTTCCAGGGCCCACCAAGGCCCCACCCCCTGCGCAGACCCTTTGGGGTCCTGTGTTTTTGTCGTGCTGCGCATGCCTCCCGCGCGTGTGCGCGGCTAGCGTGTGCGAAGCATGCGTGAGCATGGCTCGTGTGCGTAGGCTTGACGCGTGCATGAGCGTGGAGGAGGCCTAATGAGGAGGGGCGGGGAGGGGTGTTGGATACGCGGTAGGCCTGTAGGGATACTTCATGGTCGGAGCGCCTCGCGAATTGTTCGGACAGGCGTTTGGGCCCCCTCTCGTGGCGCGCGGAGCGCGCCAGCGCCAGGCTGCGGCGCCAGACGTGCCACCGGGTGGGCCAGCGCAGACCCAATAAATCCGCGCGGACCTCCGAGCGTTTCTGTTTATGCGGGTTGTTGTTTTCGAGGTGCCTCCGCCCAGCTTCCCTGGCGACGCCTCTGGCGCCGCCCTGGCGCTCCCCGCGCGCCACGGACGGGGGGCCAGCCGCCGGTTCAAGAAATCCGCGCGGACCTCCGACAATTGCCGTTTCTTGCGATTTGTGGGGCTTCGAAAGCCTTCGCCCAGCTCCGCTGGCGCCGCCTCTGGCGCCGCCCTGGCGCGCTCCGCGCGCCAGGGAAGGGGGCCCAAGAAATCCGCGCAGACTTCCGAAAGTTGATGCTTACGCCGTATTTGCATAGTCGTCCTGTTGTCGTGGGTTCTTGGTATTATTCCTCTTTATGTCATTATTCGTACTGTCACTATTCTTGCTATTTTTTCATCATTTTGATTGTTTTTCTTCGGATCTGTCCGCTTCTCTTCTCTTTCTTCTATAGCAGCCCGCGAAGAAGGGGACGAGGGCGACGGCGACGATTCAGCTGACGGCAGCGACGGCGGCTGCGGCGACGGCGCCGCGGCGGCCGAAAGGCTCATTACGAAGCTCGCCTCCGACGGGGGCGCGGGCTGCAACCTCGCCCTGTCGCAGATGGCGCCGTGCTCTGGGCTTGACTGCGGCAACGCCACCGGGCTGAACATCTTGAAGGCCTCCTCCGCAGCCCCATTCGATGATCCACGGGACGTGCGTTACAGTCAGGAGCTTTGGCATAGCGTGTCGCTCCGCCAGCTTTTTCTGGCCCCCCGCGCCTCGGTGCCACGCGCTATCCACTTCGCTGTCCGCAGGCGTCCACTTCAGGAGCCTTTCCCGACCTCCTGCCCCGCGGAGCGGAGCGACACGCTATCCACTTGTAAGGCGTAATACTTTCGTCTCGCTGGAGCCACCGGGGCGACACGCCAAGCAAAAATTTCCGACTGTAGGCCGATGTGCGTTTGCCTTTGCGCAGCTCCGTCCACAGCACGCCGCCGGCTCTTTTCGGCCCTCGTCACGCCGCATGCGTCGTGATGGAATGCGTCTGTGGACAAGCACAAATCTGCGTTCACACATGTTTTGAGGATCACAGCCTCCTCCTCCTCCTAATCCCCATCCTCCTCCGCCTCCTCCATGGTTCAGAGTCAGGCGCCGCCTTCCGATGAGATCTCAGGCGCCGTTTTCCAATGCGATGCGGCCCCCCCAGAGGGTCTCGCGGCCTCTGTTCCGCGCCCGTAGAACTTAAGCGCGAGTGCGAGAAAAGCATGTTTTGAGGACCACCCACTCACCCTGCGACACCCCGCCGTCTTGAATGGCCAACAGGTCAGCGGCACTTGGGGCGGACGCCAGCGCGTGTGGTCCGCCGGCGCGCCGCGGAAGGGCAGCGGCACAGTGGACGAGCAGAAGAGGGCGTCCGCGCACGGGGCACGGTCGAGAACAGTTGTGCGGTGGACTGTGGCGCGCAGCTTCCGGCGCGCCCGTGGGGGGCCCCAAGGCAACCGCGCAAGCCGCTGCGGTCGCACCGCGTCGCCGATCGGCGGGGCGCGCCTCGGAAGATCCCTCGGAGCCAGCGGGCAGCCGCGGAGGTCGGCCACTTCGATGCGAACGCCCCGGATGGACACCCCGAAGGCGCCGCGAGAGCAAGCGCTGCCAGGGTCCACCCCGAGGAGGTCGTGCACTGCCGGGCCGTGCCGCGATGACGTCTGAGCAGGTCCGGCGTCATGGCCAAAGCCGCCCTGGGCCGACCCCCCCCCTCGGGAGGCCAGAATATGCTTCATTATGTTTGGATAAATTTGAATAGTAATGAACCCCATTTTGTCGAAAGCAAACTCAAAGATATTCTACCATGTTCGAAGATTTCCAAACCGGACGATATGGGATTTGCGGTGGGATTCGGGCAGGTTGCGCCGTGTATGCGTTGCGGTCGATTTGTCAGCCCTTCTGCGCTCAGACGCGAGTTTCACCCCCGGGCGCCAACGCGAGTTCGAGTCCAATCCCAAAGAAGAGTTGCCCGACCCCCTTGAGGCCAACAGCACCAGGCGGCGAGCCCGAATGGAAGTGAGAAGGGGCGGGCCTTCTCAGAAGGCTTGGAAGTCCCCCAGCCTTCTGAGAAGTTTCCTAAGCCTCCCCCGAAGACACAGAAGACTCATCAGATGGCGCGAGGGCTTCTGAGAAGCCCCGCCGCCTTGCGAGGAGGCCTCCTCCTCACTTCCTCCCCTCGCTCGCCGCCGAGCCACAGGTCACTCCTGTGAAGGGTCACTCCTTGCGGGAAGCCGACTCGGGCACCGACAACAGGAAGTGGGCGGCCAGTGCGAGCTGCCGAAGGAGTAAGCGTAACTCAGGAGGGGGACAACAACACGCAGACACAATGAATCGTCGACCCCCCAGAAAATATGGGAAACTATGGGAGGTGGGGGGGAAGACAAAGACCCAGAAGATATGGAAAACCCGTCCGAGGGTGAAACGCTTTTCGTGTTATGATTTTTCTTGCGGCTGCCGCCACACCTCGCCGTGAAACATGGCGATCGCCTCCTCGCTTGGCACGCAACGTCGTCGGCACGACCATCGCCTTCCATCGTAGGTCGTGAGGCGGCGTGGTGTGTGGTTGTAGATGTGTTCGATTCTGGGGGATCCTGTGATTTGTGCTTACTTGTGTGCCAGATTATGACACAATGAATCGTCGACGCCCCAGAAAATATGGGGAACTATGGGAAGTGGGGGGGAAGCCAAAAACCCATGAGATATGGGAGCATCTGGGGAATGCTGTTATCTGTACCTATGTGTGTGCCCTTGGGCCCCCGCGCTGCGGGCTGCGGCGGCGGCGCCCTCGGGGCTGCCGGAGCCCCCGGCCGCGCGGCGGGAGCGCGCGCCCCGCAAGGCCGGGGCGCGCGGAGGCGCCGGCTTGGCCGCGCCTGCACTGCTTGCTTTTGCTGTTGCTTTCCCTCCTCCTCCCCTCCCCTCCCCTGCTGCTGCCCTCCTCTTCCTGTAGCCCCAGAACATATAGGACACTATGGGAAATGGGGGGGGGACGCCAAACACCCATAAGATATGGAAGCAGTTGGGGAATCCAGTTATCTGTACCTATATGTGTGTGTGTGCCCTTTGGGCCCCCCTTCGGTAACACATCCAGCAGCTGCACGGACGGAGGGCGGCGTGTTGACAACGGCACCCACGACCGGGGACGGTTCCACGAAGCTCCCTCGTAGTGTAAAGTTAAGTCGGGCCTGTCCCTCTTCAGGGGGAATACTTAAAAGTAGTAAAAGAAATCGTTTGGGGACTATTTCTTGACAATTTTTGAATAGTTTGGGGGCATTTGGGGGGTACTTTTATTTGTCGTCCAAAATCCCCCTGGTATGGGGGACATGCCCGACTTAATCGTAGTGTGTGAGGCCTCCAGCTGCGCGTGTGGCGGTCGGATCCTGTTAGATGCAGATCTCGCACCGGAATTTCCCGCTCGTCGCCGCGGCCGGATGCGCTTCGGGATCCTGGTCACGACGCACCCTGGCGAGAGACCCACGGAGCCTCGGTGCCAGCATATGTTCGCTGCCCCAAAACAGCCCGTCTGCCGCCCGCACAAGATCCGCAGACGGAGGGCACGATTTCTTGCGAAACTATTCATCCAGTCGCGCGGGTGAGGGGGCACATTTCGGCAGAGCTTCATCATCTGTGGAACGCACGCGCCCGGTTCGGTGAGACTTGCACCCCCCTGCAGGATCCAGAAACGCTCGCGCCCGTCGCCGCACATTTGCGAGCGCCGCCGATCGCGGGAGCTTCATTCCCGCGAGCAGTGCTGGACGGGCGGCGAAGCCGAGCATGGGTGACCCGCGCTGCGCGTGCACATGCTCCACCACCCGAGAGTAGATGGTGTCGGAGGATCGCGCCGCATCGCCGTTGCATCGGCGATGTGGCTCGATGTGGAGCCCGATGTTCTCCACCCGAACGTCGCCGATACATCGTCGCCGAGCGATCCTCCGACCCTGCCTGCTCGGCCCCCCTTGGGGAGGCCTCTAGTTGCTCCTACCGGGGAGGCCCCGATGGACGGCCCCACTGGCGCTCAGTAGCGCTCCGTAGCCGTTCTGGCTCAGGCGGCGCTGCGCAGACCCGCCGTCGGGCACGCCGGTGGTGCGCGCTCTCGCCGGCGAGCGGGGTCGGCCCTCGGCGGCCATGTCCCGCGCCTTCAAGATGCTGGTGAACGGCCGGCTCGTGGCCGGAGACGGCACCTTCCGGGTGGTCAACCCGTCCACCGGCAGGCCGTTCGCCGAGGCGCCCGCGTGCTCCCAGGCCCAGCTCGAGGCCGCCGTCGCCGCCGCCCGGGCGGCCTTCCCCGCGTGGTCCGCGACGGCCCCGGCCAAGCGCCAGGAGTCCAAGAGCAGAAGCCGCGTAAATAAATAAATAAATAAATAAATAAATACATAAATCTATATATATATATATATATGTATATATATATATATATATCACAGGCAGGCGGTCTACGCAGATGTATCGCATCGGCGCTGGACCCCCCCCTGGCGACGCCTTCGGCGCGGGCGCCGCGCGACCGGGAGGGGGTCCAGCGCCTATTGAAGAACCGCGCGGACCTCGCAGTGTTTTAGGTCGATGTCGCTTTTGAGTTCCTCTGAGGAGACGCTCCTGGCCGCGGGGCGGGCCGTGGAGAGGCTGGCCGAGCCGCTGGCGGAGGTCCTGGTGAGGGAGCAGGGGAAGCCGCTGGCGGCCGCCAGGGGCGAGATCCGGGCGGTGGTTGGCTGCCTGGGCGTCCTGGGCAGGGCCGAGTACGACTTCGAGAGGGTCCTGAAGGACAGCGATCGCGAGCGGATCCTGCAGAGGCGGGTGGCCCTGGGGGTGGTTGGCGGCATCACGCCCTGGAACTTTCCGCCGCTGATGGCGGCCCAGAAGATGGCGGAGGCCCTGGTCACTGGCAACACCCTGGTGCTGAAGCCGTCGCCGTACACGCCGCTGAGCACGCTGATGCTCGGCGAGGCCGTGGCCGACTGTTTCCCGGCCGGCGTGTGCAACATCGTGAGCGGCGGAGACGAGGTTTGGTAGTCCCCAAACGTGGTGGTGACAACACCTGGCGGTGAGTCTCGGGCGATTTGGTGTCACCACCCGGTTTGGGGACTCGTGCGGTTTTCCGAGGATGTCCCGAACACTGGTGGGTCCAGGAGTCACAGAACCCGGTGGTGACCCCGTGTCCCCAAACCCAGCGGTGACCTTTTTGGGGCTTCCAGGTCGCCACCTGGTATCTCACCACCCGGTTTGGGGGTTCCCAAGAGGTGGGTCGCTGGCTGACGGAGCACCCTGACGTTGCTAAGATATCTTTCACGGGTTCCACCAGGACTGGCAAGGCCATTCAGGCCTCGTCCAGCGGCACCCTGAAGCGGCTCACGCTGGAGCTGGGCGGCAACGACGCGGCCGTCGTGTTGCCTGATGCAGATCCCAAGGCCGTGGCCAGGGGCGTCTTTGCGCAGGCCATGGGGAATTCGGGCCAGGTCTGTATCGCTATCAAGCGCTGCTATGTGCACGAGAGCATATTCGACTCGTTCGTGGACGAGCTTACAAATCTGGCCCAGGGAGCCAAAGTTGGCGATGGGTTCGAAGACGGCGTGAAATACGGCCCCATAAACAACGAGATGCAGTTCGAGCGCGTGAAAGGCCTCGTGGAGGATGCGAAGAGGTGCGGCGCGAAGGTGCACGCAGGGGGCGAGGCGCTACCCAGGGAGGGGTATTTCTTCCCGCCGACGATCATCACAGGCGTGGCGGAAGGGACACGCATAGTTGACGAGGAGCAGTTCGGCCCAGTGCTGCCCGTCATGCCCTACAGCGACGTCGACGACGCCGTCAGGCGCGCAAACGCAACCTCCTTCGGGCTCGGAGGCAGCGTCTGGGGAACCGACGTGGAGAGGGCGGCGGAGGTAGCCGGCCGAATCGAGTCTGGCACTGTGTGGGTCAACTCGCACGGGATAATGACGTTCGACGTCCCGTTCGGGGGCGTGAAGCAGAGCGGCATTGGACGGGAGTTGGGCGTAGGCACTCGAAGAACAAACGAAATGGTTGCATAAACACACATTGTCGGACGTCCGCGGGGATTCGTTGGATTTGCACTGGGCCCCCCTGGGCGGCGTCTCCAGCGCCGCCCGTGGCGGGAGGTGTGCCCAGCGCGGATCCAAGAACTCTTGCGCGGACCTTCGAAAGTTTACGTTCAATGCAGTTCGTCGCTCATCCAGGCACGATCGAGGGCCACACCGAGATCAAGATCGTCAGAATTCCGAAGCCAAGAGCGGCGCCCAAGGCGAAGCTGTGAGAGCGCGCGGTGTCCTCGTGTCCTTGCCGCTCTCCCACAAAAAGGTTGCCCAGTGACGCTTTGCTTGTTTTGTGCCATCCCCTCCCAAGCTCAATGGCCTACCTGAGAAGCACGGGAGCAATTCCGTCGAGAGCTTTCGGACAGCGTGTCGCGCCGCTTGTTCTGGTCCACCGCGTTACGGCGCGACACGCCATCCAGTTCGCGGTCCCCAGGCGCCAACGTCTCGAGTTTTCCTGAGCCTCCCGCCCAGCGGAGCGGAGCGACACGCTGTCATGGGTCCTTCTCTACCGAAGCGGGTCCTGGTGGTCCAAGTGATGCAGGTCTCATCGTATGCCTCCTTTCTTTCCCATACATCCTCCCCCATCCAGGGTCCGTCGTTTTGATTCGATCGATCCGACTGGTCCGATTCGATTTTGATGTTGGCCCGCCCGACCCGATTCGATTCCGATGTAGCGACGGTCCGAAGCGGCCCGATGTTTGGATGTCGTAGTTCGATCCGCATTGCCGATTAGATGCTAACTGGTCCTGCCCTCCCTCTTCTTCGGTGGGATGAGGGGCGACGCCACCGCCAGCGGGGCACCTCCAGCGAGGAGGTCCACAGTGCCCCCCCGATTTGGAGGTTTGAGATGTCTCGAGCAGGACGCTGCCGCACAGGGGTACCACACCACCAGGAGGTCGGACGAGAAAAGAGTGCCAATGCGATTGGGGTGTTCGTTCAGGAATGTGCACCGGAGGCTTCAAGTCCCTGGAGGGTTCCTTATCCAATGAGGGTAGCGGTGATATCCATGGCCGATCCACGATTGGAGCTCCACCGGCTTCCAGACCCTGGACTTTCTCATCCAATGGTTCATTATCCAATGCCCTAACCGTGCCGCTACCCTTCCCTCAGTTTGCGCCCGTTTCGGCCTCCTGGGAGGCCCTTAACGCCACGGCTGGATTCGCCTCGATGTTCTCGTCAGAACGCACTGGGAAAGAGGTCCGGGGAGTGGCAGTATCCGTTCATTGCTCCACCATAGGATGACCCAGCCTGGCTCTGGCCACTGGTGGGGGGGTTGCCGTCTTTCTTTGATCCTACGCTGATCCTCACCCCCAACGCTTCCCTTCTTCAGCATGCCTCCTCTTTCCTCTCCCATCCACCTCCTCCTCCTCCTCCTCCTAGCTACGTCTTCTCCTCCTCCTCCTCCTCCTCCTCCTCCCTCAAGGTGTCATTACGTCTGTAGCTTGCGGTGGTTACACGTTACATCTGGGTTGCCAGATGTGCATTTCCCGCTCCCATATATGTAGACGTGCGGGTTTATTCCGAGTCTGCTCTCATAGTTGTTGCTAATGACTATTTTCTTCCTATCTCTGACGGGGTGCGCATTTGATTTCTTTTGGGGAAGGGGAGTGCAGGGGGGTTCGGTATTCCACTTAGGGGATGGTGGTGGTATGGAGCATCGAGGTGACATCGGAGGAGGAGGGGATTGAGGAGTCTGAGGAAGGTGGGGAGGAAGAGGAGAGCAAGGAGAAAGAGAAGAGAGGAGGGTGGTAGGGAGGAGCAGTGCGAGTGGAAGTAGGGCGGAGGAGAGGGGGGGGGGCGAGTGGGATGGAGGCAATGCGGAGAACTCCTCCTTCCTACTCCTTGGGGGAGTTTGAAGGATAGCAGTGGGGAATAGCGAGACAGGAAGATTGAGGCTGGAGGTAGATGGAGGAGAGATGGGGAAGGGGAGGAGGATCATGCGGACAATCTAAGAGGAGGAGGAGAAGGAGCATGGGGAGCCGGAGGAGCCAGGGGAGGAACATAAGGAGAGAGGTAGTGGTGGTGAGGAGGATGTGGGTGAAAGGAGTGGTAGGTGGATCGAAGAGAGTTTTCACGATCCCTTAGAGTATCCGTCTGCCTCCGCAATTCCGCCACTGTGCCAGCGCAGCATTCTGGATGGCAACTGCTCGAAAAGGGAAATGGGCCTGTTGGGGACCTCTTGGGGCAGAATGCCTGGATTCTTGGCTCGTGTTCCCCCACTCTCGAGCCCCTCTTGGGGCCGTCCTGGGGCCCTCTTTGGCAGTCTTGGGCGCCTCGTAGGCCGTCCTCGAGCCCCCGTGGGCCTTCTTCGAGTTCCCTTAGGGGCCTTCTGAGCCGTCTCGGGGGAATCTTGGGAACCTCGTGGGTCGTTTTTTTGAGCGTCTGAAGCTCGAACAGTGTTTTTTTGATCCACGGGTCGAGAGCGAGCCTCTTCCGGTCGAAGCTAAGCGGGCCGCGCACAGCTTTAATTGGCAGAGGAAGGAAAAAAGAAGGCGGGGCCTCACGTCAAGGCCAAGAGAGGGCCAAGCCACGTGATTCGGAAGCTCGAACAGGCCAGAACCCCAAACAGTTGAAACAACTACGGAACATCAATTATTGTTGGGGGCCTCTTGGGTGCCTCTTGTGGCCCTCTTGGGGCGGACGGCTCGAATTGTCGGTTCGTGTTCACCATCTTGTGATGAGTTCTCAAGTGGCTGCTTCTGGGGGGGCATTTACTATAAACCTCCCCCCTCCAGCCCTCGCCCCAGCCCCCCCCCCGCCGCCAGGTGCGTTCACCTCTCACCTCTCCCCCCTCGGGGAAGGGCCTTTCTCTACCCCCCTGCGGCACAGAACCACTCGCCCTCCCTCCCTGCTTCCCTCCCTCCCTCCGTCCCCCCCCTCCCGCCCTCCCCTTCCCCCCTCCCTCCCCTCCCTCCCTCCCTCCTTCCCTCCGTCCCTCCCTCCCCCCCCCTTCCCTCCCTTCCTCCTCCCCCTCCCTCCCTCCCTCCCTCCCTCCCTCCCTCCTTCCCCTCCTCTCCCCCCCCTCCTTCCCTCCCGCCCCCCCCTCTCGCGCGGAAGTGTTTTTGCCCAGTGCGGCCTGGGCGCCTGGTTTCGATCGCCCCCCGCCCCCATTGAGTTGCGGTTCCTGGAGGGGGTCGAAGGGCGTTATTTTCCACGTGCGAGGGGGGGTCTGGCAGGAAGGGAAGGGAGGCTGGGGACAAAGGCGGCGACCGCAAATCAATGGGGGCAAGGTGCCATTGGAACCAGGCGGGGGGGGCGCGGGGGCGCAGCGCCGCAATCGGGCGCCGCCGCGGTCAGCGCGCTGGCTCAGGAGCTACGCTCCCAGCCACCGCGCCCTGATGGGAGGAATGAGGGATAGGGAGATGGGGGGAACTGGAGGACAGAGGAAGCCGAGGAGGGATTAGGCATAGGGGACTGGATGGGGAGGGGAGGATGCGAGAAAAGCTACGGGTAGACGGAGGAAGCAGGGGGAGAGAGGAGGGAAAATGGAGGAAAGGAGAGGACGGGGGGGGAACGCCAGGGAAGGACATAGCGGGAGCGCAGAGAGAGGGTGCGAGGGTGGGAAAGAAGGGGCAAACAATGGTAGCTTTTTCTGCTCTCTGCCCCGCGGCGCCCCCGAGGAGCCGAGCCCCCTCGGCCGCGTCGGGAGCGGGTTCGGGAATCCTCGGTCCTCGTCCTCCTATGCCTCCTCCCTCCTTTGCCTCATCCCTCCTCTCCTCCCCTCCATTCCCCTATGCCTCATCCCTCCATTCTCCATTCCCCTATGCCTCATCCCTCCCTCGATTCCCGAACCCAGGAGGAGAGGGATGCCTGCCAGGAGGAATCCCGTCCTGCCGATCGCGGCGTCGCCGGAGTCAGGGGGGGAGGGGGGCAGGGGGCCGCGATGGCGCCGGCCCCGGCCGTCGTTCAGATGGCTCGCCGCGCCCCTGGGTTCAGGACCCCCCCTCCCCGACGTGGAGGATGAAGAGAAGGAGTCGAGGGTGCAGTGGAGGAGGGGGGCAATCGGGAGGAGGAGGAGGGGGAAGAGGATGAGGAAGGGGCGGGGGAGGGCGATGATGAGGAGGATGAGGTATCTTCTCTGTTGTGACACCTCTGGTAGTTTGATCTATTAGCCAAGTGTAGTCTACTTTGTTGTATAGTCTCCCTCTTCCCTTCTTTTTTCTACTCTACCTGCTCTGCCCTACTCTTGACTCTTCTCTACTCTTACCTTACTCTGCTCTTTACCTGCTTCATCCTACTTGTCTCTACTCTTACTCTACTTTTCTGCTTGCTCTCTCCTTTCTCTCTACCTGCTCTACCCCAGTCTTCTCCTACTTTCTACTCCTGATCGATCAACCCTGGGCGATTATCCGCGGAAGGTTGGGGCGAGTAGTTATGGCGAGAGCGCAGGCGAGTTGGGGCGAGAGTCCAAACGACGAAGAGGAGGGTGAGAGCGCGCGGTGAGAGTTCAGGAGTTCAGGCGACGAAGAGGGGGAGGCAGGAGGAGGGGCGAGGAAGGGGACTTCCCCATCACCCCCTTCCCCCCCTCCTTCCCCATCCGCGGCGCAGGAGGGGGGGGGGGGGGGGGGGGGGGGGGGGGGGAGGAGAGGGGATGCGAGGGCGGGGCCCAGGTGCCAGGTGAGCAGCGGGGGAGGCAGGACGAGGAGGAGAAGGGTGACGATGAGGAGGAGGAGGAGGGAGGAGGAGGAGGAGGAGGATGGGGAGGAGGAGGAGGAGGAGTAGGAGGAGGAGAAGGGGAAGGAGGAGGAGGAGGAGGAGGCAGGGGAAGGATCTTACTTATCAGATCAGGGTGGAGCGGCGAGTCGAGGGAGTTGACTGAGTTGACGGGCCCTCTCAGGAGCACCTCGCGCGACATGTGCAAGGTCTCGAAGGAGGAGAAGGAGGCCCGCAGGTGCAAGTGCGCCAACGCCGTCGCTCGCGACGGTCGCGTGGCGAACCCGCACCCTCCCACGATCTCCTTCAAGGCCGCTGGTGGGGATTGGGTGCTGCTGGAGAGAGGGGGAAGGGAGGGCGGAGGGCATGATGGTGATGATGATGAGGATGATGCGGATGATAGCGATGATGCTGACGACGATGATGATGATTATGATGATGATGATGATGATGGTGATGATGATGATGCTGATGATGATGGTGATGATGATGATGATGATAATGATTATAATGATGATGATGATGATGATGATGATGGTAGGGGTGATGATGCGGATGATGGTGATGG